CAGTGAGCAGAATTCCTTGCAGAACCTTAGCTCTGACCTCTGCCTTCCCTCCAGATCTGTTCTCTGCTCCAGGCAGAGCCAGTGAGAGCCCCCTGGTATCTTCTTGTTCCTTATAGTTCCCAACTCTGTGTAGTCCTCTGGGCAGGAGGGACAGGGGAGAGGAGACCAAGAGGAGCCCCAGGTTCTGCAGAACCCATCAAGGATACAAGTAAGAGCTGTCCAGAAACTGGGCAGAGGTCTTATAGGACTTGGGCTTGTTTGTCAAAATGGGCTGGGGTGGTTTCCTTACTGTGCTTGGTGTGTGTGTGTGTGTGGGGGGTCTGGGGGAAGGAAGCAGGGTGTGTGTCGGGGGGGGGGTACTGTTCAGAGTGAGAGAAGGCTAGAGGGTAGATTTTCTGTTCCAGAAGGTAGGACGCCCTGGGGGTATCTTCCACAGTCTCTGGGCATGGCTGGCTTTGGTTTGTGGTCACTCACCCTTGCAGAATGCACCCCTCCATGGGATGACCAGCACTGAAGGCAGCCCTGGTTGATGGGGTGCTGGTGTTGAGACAGGCTCTTTCTCTTGCCCTCCAGTCTGGGGGCCTCTCATGTCTGCCACCATGGCACTGGTTGCCTGATGGGGGCAGGCTGGGATTGGGGGATCTGAATATTCCCTTACTTTGACTCCTGCCAACTCACATTTTACTTGTTTTGGGGGCCCCACTCCTATACCATGATGTCTAACTGCAAATGTTGGGAGAGACAGCATTTATATTCTCCCCTTCCCTGTGGGGGTCCAGAAAGACCAGAGAGCCCTCAGAGAAGAACTTTATGTAAGGGGAGGGTGTGGGGGCACACTTGGGTCACTGTCACCGTGGGAAGATGCTGCCATCCACCGTCTCTTCCAGAATGGTCTCCACGCGCCTCCGCTGCAAGGAGAGGGGCTGGGGTCGGTGTGGGAGGAGGCGAGGGGTCCTCCTACCCACCCAGGGCTTGCCAGAACCTCTTGTCGATCCAAGGGATCCGGAATCCGTGTGGGTTTCAGCTGTGGCGGCAGGAATGTCTCCAGTCTGATGGCGGCGCGCGCTGAGTCCTGCCGCTGGATCAGGAGCGCAATTTCCTCTGCCTGCGGGCCAAAGCCGGCTGAGCGGCGCCGCGCCTCAGCTGTACCCACCCTCTGCCCACTCCTGCGAGCGGGTGGTCTTCCCTATGGGTGGTGCCCCCGCCCTTGATTCCAGGCCCACCCGCATTCGGGTGTAGCGCAGTCGCAGGGCGCGGACTCGCCCGCGAGCCTCCGCTGCCTTGAGGACGCCCAGCAGCCGGTTCCAGCGCTCGGTGGGTAGTTCGCACTGCGTCCAGGCGCGGGGGTCGGGCATGAGGTACTCCAGCTCTACGGACTCGCGCGGAAAGATGGAGGCGGCTGCACCCACGTCCTGGAGCAGGTCGCCGAAAAGCAGGTGGCGGTGTCGCTGCGTGGGGCTCATGGCGGCCAGCCCCTCCAGCGTCAGCGTCCAGCCTGGCTTGGTCTCGGGCACCCGCTTGGCGCGCTCCTCAAGAGGCCCGCTTCCTGACGCGCTCTTCCCCACCTGCTCACTCGAGCATTTCCCTGCGGGCGGCGGCATCCTCTGGCCTGAGGAGGGAAAGGGACACCCCGTTTGCTGTCCAACCTTAAACCAGTCCCACCGTGCGGTCCAGCTTCCCCCCCCCCCCCTCTGGATTTGTCGCGGCAGACTTCACTGGCGAACCTTTGGCCTTTTTGAACACAGGTCGTGGCCAATGCGCTCAGCCGGGTGGTTGACCCACTGCCTCCGGCAGCCAGCGAGGACTTCCTGATCCATTCAGTTTTAGAAATTGCCCTTTCTGCCCTACCCAAGGATTGAACTGAGAAAATGCTGAGACACCCCCTGCCCCAACCAGGCGATCTCAGGCCTACCCAGGGATAGAGACCACAAGGGACTTCCCTGGGTGAGGCCTATTGACCCCCCATTTCTGCGGTCACCTGTCAGCATCCCACTAGAATCTCGGGGACTGGTCTTGTCTGTCCTGTCCTGTCCCGGCCCCAGGAGCAGTGGTTTGGGGGTGACCCCGCCAGGCCGAGATGGGTGTGCACGTCTGTGTAGGTGTACATTTTTTTGTGGGGGGTATCTTTGTGGCTCTGTGTGTGTATGGCTGCATGTGAGTGGATGGAGGCTCTGAGCCTACTGCTTTAGGGCGGTCCCATCATCTTGGCTTGACTCCTGCTGGGCCGAGGCAAGAGGAGCAGAGCTCAGAGAAGAGGGGAACGCAGAGCGTCCTTCTGGTCCCAGTCGCCCCATCTCACCCTCGGGCCAGATCCTGCTCACCGTGGGTCAGGAGCAGAGCCGGGGACCGCCGGCCCGCCTCCAAATTTCAGAGTTTCCCACCCGCGCCCACTCACCCTAGTTTACGGTTCTCTGTGGGAATCTTCGGTGCTTGTTGATGCAGTTGCCGGGCAACCCGAGCCCTGCCCCACCTCCAACTGGGTGGGGGCGGGGCAGCCCTTCAGGCAGAAGTTACCGCTGTGCTGTACATACCGACGCACCATTTTGGGGGCCACGGACTCACCATCTGGGCGCGGGAGAGGGCTTTGGGCCTAACTGCAACCATACTTTTAAGGCTGAGATCCTTTCCCATCAGTGCCCATGAGGCACTGGGACAGAATTCAGGGCCCCTCATCCTACCCCTGAGTGATTGGTCCTAGATTTTTGGTGGGGTTCTTTTTTTTTTTTTTTTGTCTTTTTTGGAACGGGGGATGGAACCCAGTGCTTTGCGAATGCAAGGCAGATGCTTTGCCACTGAGCTACATACCAGCCTGGTCCTAGATTTTCATAATCTATTTGCCATTTATTAATTTTATGATACAATGACAATTTTAGTTTCTCAGTTTATTAATTCTGTAATGATTCATGCACATATCAGGTATTCACATACTCATTCCACAGTTTAGTTAGACTAAGATTAGTGCAGATTTAATCATAGTGTGTTCTGGTCTGCATTACTTCCCAATCCTATCATACCTCGTTCCTAGGTAGGCAGATGGTACCTTCTGGAGTTCAGAGCCAGACTCTACAGGTGCAGCTTCCTGGCTGAGGGGCCGGTCACTGAGCATCCCAGGGCCTTCCTGATGCTGACCCCCTCCTGTGTGTGCTTGGGCATCAGCACTGTCGGGGAAGGCGCTGCACACAGGGGGTGGGGAGGTTTTACCGTGGTCCTTCTTCTGGGATGGGGGCACAGGGAGCTGGAGAGAGTTCTGTCCTGTCAGAAGGGACTTGTAGCTTTCCCTTGGTATAAATAAGAAGCATTGATGCAGGGAGGGGGAGAGGAGGAGCAGGAGGACTCCCTGCCCCTGCACTGGGGCTGGGCGCCAGGGCTGGCACCAGGGCTGGCACCAGGGAGGCATGGAGGTGGGTGCGCCCTTTGCAGATGCTGTGTTCATTCTGGCACCAACTCTGCCCAGATGCAGGTGACGTCCCACATGGCCCTGTTGGCTCCATTGCGACTTGTGGGCATGTGCTCCTTTCATGTGTGACATTCATGTCTGGGCCATCCCTGATTTCCTTGCATGCCTTGTTTTGCCTGTGTATGACATGTGCACCTAACATGTCCCCTGATGACCTTTGTGTGACTCGTATGTTCTGGTCAGGCCCAGGCTCTGCCTGCACCCCTCTTGAGGGCTCACTGAGTTCTGGTCAGGGTAGGAGAAGTCTGCCATTTCTTCTGTACTGCCAGTCCCCCTTTGTGGGAAGGTAGTCTGCATCTCATCCTGGTCACCAACCATCAGATGACAAGCCTGTCCTCCCACCTGTGATTGTATCTATGATGGGCCAAGAGGCCTCCTTCGTCTGGCCTTTGTGCCAACCTCAATGGAGACTTTCACAGGTGTCCGCTGAGATAGCTCACAGTCCTGCCTGCAGCACTGTGCAGTTGGTGTGGAGACCCTGTGGTGGGCTGAGGGCTCCAGGGCCGGGGTCAGGGGCAAGGCAGGACTGGAGACCCTGGGGCAGGACCCATATGGGTGTGGCAGCCCCAGGGACATGTGAGATAATCAGACTGGTGTATCCTGTGGCTCTGCTCTGCCGACCCTCACAGTACCTACAGCATCCCCTTCTCCAGGACAGGGTCTGGGCTGGGAGGCAGCAAAGGCCATTAGGAAATGAGGCTCTGAAGATGGGCAGGCAGGAAGGGGCAGCTGGAGTGGGAACTCTGGGCTCACCTAGGGAAGGAGCTGCAGGAATCTGAGCCCCCCTGGCCCAGAGGTCTGGGGTCAGCCTTGTCTGGAGAGTATGTGTGAGAGTGTGTGTCTCCTGGATGTTAGAGAGCCTCGGCTGGTGTTTGCCTATTCCCATGGGCATCTGTGCTTTCTCTGAGTCTGCCAACATGCCTGTGTACGCCTTGTAATGGTTTGCATGTATGTGGCTCTGGTGTGCATCCCTAAGCATGTACCTGTGTCTCTGTGTATTTATCCCGTGCTTGTTTAGGCATCTATGTACATGTTTGCTGGTCTGTGTTCCCCAAATGTCCATGTATTCCTGAGTCTCAGCTGCAGTGGAGATGCAGAGACAAATCCTGGGGGACAGCTGGGGATGCTGAGTCCTGGGGCATCTGATTGCTCTGGCCTCTCCTGATTTGACAGGTATCCTAGCAACACTGTTGTCAGTTGCCTAGCAACCAGATCCCCATTCCTTGGAAAAGAAGCAGGGTCTGGCTGTGTGGGGGGAGGTCTAGCTCTCCTTCACATCCTGTGTAGGAAGAGCAACCCCATGACTGTTCAGTGCAGGGGTCACCCACATGGCCTTGACTTGTAACCTTTCATTTCAGTGTGCTGATGACCTCTGTGCTGGCAAGGAGGCAGATCCATGGGAGTGATTCAGCTGTGTGAATGCCAGGGCCCTTCTCTGGGGCCCAACTGTGCAGATGCCCTTGGTGTGGCTCCATGTGACAAGCAGACCTGGGCTTTCCCAGCCTGCCAGGTGGACAGAGGTCTTTACCCCTCTGAGGTTTCACATTCTCATCTGCTGGAGAGATGTGCATGGCAGCAGCCGTGTGTGCTGGGGAATGTGCTTGTTTGTTCAGGCATGGTGTACAGTAGGCACAAGCAGCACACAGTAGGTGTGGTTCCAGTGCTGGGTGCTGGGTTCAGCACCCTCCTGCTTGTTTACAACAAGGCTCTGAGCTCTGAGAACTGGCTGGGCTGGACGTTCCTATATGCCTGCCTACTGAGGCTCTGCCAACTGTGGAGCCTGGCTGAGGGGTGCTGCTGTAGGCAGGGAGGCCATCCAAGGCTGGTCTGGACCAGGCTGTCCAAGGCTGTGACTGCATGGGTTGGGGGCCCATGTCTGCCTGAGTGGGTCTGTCTGTATGGTTCTCCCTGAGTTCCTGTTCCTGGGACTCTGTTGTCTGAGCCTGTGTCCTCATATGTGTCTGAGTTCTGGTCTGTGTCTGCATCTGTGTCTGTGCACATCCATGTCATGTGTCCTGGCCTGTGTGTGGGTCTGTTGGGTCTGTGGGTCCATCTCTTTATGTGTGCCCTGATCTCATGTCTGTTTCCATGAGGTATGGGGCCCAGGTGGCCCTGGGCAGCATTCCTCCTTCCCTAGACCCCTCCTCCAGCCTGCGCAGCCCCTCCTGCTCTGGAGCAGCAGCCTCCTCCCCCTCCCCCCCCCCAGCTGCCGCACTTGCTGCACTCGCCACTGCGTCTAGTCTGGCGTCTGCTGAGAAGCAGCAGCTACGCTGCAGCCCCATCCAGACCCTGCGCTGAGACAAGGAGCGAGCCGCCTAGCCCCACTCTGCTTCAGCCTCTCCATCCATCTGCCCAGGGCTGGGGTCTCCTCAGTCTCTATTCCCAAAGAAGTTGTGGAGATAGGGCCTGAGGTGCTAGAGGTAAGTGGGGGGCCCTGCTCTGCAGGGCTGGGAGGGGCAGGAGAAGGCTGTGCCCGGGTGTTCCTGGGCATGTCTCAGGGGCGCTAGCGTCTATTCTGTGTGTGCATGAGGGTGGTTTGGGCATTTTTGTGTTCATATGTGTGCATCACATCACCTTTGAACATACGTGGTTGTGTTCCGAGTCCCTGTGGGTGGATATGTGTCCTTGTGTAACTATCTCCATGCAGTCCACGTTTGAGTCTGTCAACCAAATGCGAGGTACCTTTGTGGGCATGAGTGTCTCTGTGTTCTGTGTCCCTCTCTTGCATACACCCTTGTGTCTCCATGTGTGTCTGTGTCTAAGCACAGCCTGTGTCCTCACGTGTGTGCTTTGTCCTGCATGTGTGCTTTGGTGTCTGCAGCCAGCCCTGAGGTCTGCATGCCTGTTTGGGCTGCGCCTGCTGTGCTCTGCGTCCTGTGTGGGTGTGTGCCTTGCAACATGGTCACTTGTTTCTGTGCCCTGTCGCAGGTTCTATACAGACTGATTTTTCAGGGCAGCAGAATGGAGTCGATCTTTCCTGCCCCACTCTGGGAGGTCCTCTACAGCAGCCACCTTCAGGGCAACCTGTCCCTCCTGAGTTCCAACCACAGTGTGATGCCCCCCCACCTGCTGCTCAATGCCAGCCATGGCTCTTTCCTGCCCCTTGGGCTCAAGGTCACCATCGTGGGGCTTTACCTTGCCGTGTGCATCGGGGGGCTGCTGGGGAATTGCCTCGTCATGTACGTCATCCTCAGGTAGGCGGGGCCCCGTTTCTCTGTGAGTCCCATACAGCCACAGATGGGAGACTGAGACAGGAGGCTGTTTGGGATGGACCCGAGCAGATGGAGATATCTTGCTGCTTCCATTAAGTTCCTTTTCTCCCTGTTCAGGGAGCGGGATCTATCCTGAGGCCCTGGATGCTTAGTCCTCCCCCCAGCCTGTCTGTCCAGGTAGTGACGTCACCTCCCTAGACCCTGGTTGGAGCTGTGCTGAGCTGACTGTGAGTGACCTCGTGGGCTCCATAGAGACCCTAGGAGTTGGCCCTCCTCAGGGCTTGCCAACCTCTCCCACAGGGACAGGCCTCCCTGAGGCCCCTCTCCTCTGAGCCTGGATCTGCTGGTGCTCAGAGATGGGAGAGCTTGGGGACCAGAGGAGATGCTAGTGCCAGGTGGTTGGGGTGGTGGCACAGCTGGGTGGCCATGGGGGCACTGTGGGGGCATTGTGGGGCTGCACTGTGAGGTGGGTAAGGAACCCTTCACGTGGCACATACCCTGGGCACATGTGGCAGAAGGGGAGGGATTTCTGGGCTGGGGAGATGAGGGACCCTGTGTTCCTCTGGATGGGAGAGAGTCGAGTGCACTGCAGACAGTGAGTGGGTCTTGAAAGGAGCCTTGGGAGACTTGAGCAGGAAAACAAGAAACCAATGAGTTTTTACAGGCCCAGGGTGTTCTCTCTGACCCAGAAAGAGGTGATTCTGAAGACCTGCTCAGGGCTCTGAAGCCAGCGTCCCTCCATAGGGCCTCACAGGCTCCCAGGAAGCTGCTGGGTAGCAGTGGTGCTGGTGGAGACAGAACAGGACAGTGGAATGTCCAGTCCCTGACTCCCCAACTGTCCTCTGAGCATCCCTGACAAACCCCATTTCTCTGTGAGCCTTGTTTCTCCATCCAGAAAGTGAAAAGGACAGGCCTCATAGCCACGTGTATGTGTATGGTGTGTGTGAGAGGCAGAGATGCAGGGTTGGATCAGGGGAAGAGCAGCTTTGCCCTTCACAGTACTGACCTCCAGGGAGGACCCTGGGGAGGGTCCTGCATGACCCACAGGCCTCTGTGGCCAGAAGTGCAGCTGCCCGGGGCAGCCATGTACCCTGACCACCTTCCTGCTGACAGCACCTCCCTGGGTCCCCTGGTACTGGGGCATTGCAGCCACTTCCTGGATGAGAGTAGACATGGAGGCCTTCTTGACCCCCAGTGTCCTCAGAGAGACCCATGCTGAGGAGCTGCCATGTCCACACCACTCAAGTGGTGGCACAGAGTGCATTTTGAGCCACCAGACTGGGGTGGCTTCCAGGAGTTAAAACACCTGGTTTCAAGCCCTACTCGCTTTTTATCAGCTCCAAGGCCGTAACAAGTTTCATGGACTGGGTATGGTGGCCCATGGCTGTAATCCCAACTCAGGAGGCTGAGGCCGGAGAACCGTGAGTTGGAGGCCAACCTGGACAACTTAGTGAGACCCTGTCTTGAAAAATAAAGGGCTGGGATGCAGCTCAGTGATAGAGTACCCCTAGATTAACTCACCAGTACCATGAAAAAAAAAAAAAAAGGAAAAAGAAAGCAAGCTACTTAGGGCATCTGAGCTTTAGATTTCTCCCCCATATAGCGGGAATCCAATAGCATCTCTGTGAATCTTAAATGAGATAAAATCCATGGAGGGGCTTGACACAGGGAGGTACCAGCATTGTCACTGTTGTTTACATTGAGGTTGCAACCCGGCCTCTTTGTGCTTATTCTTTTTCTTTTGGTGCCAGGAATTGAAACCAGGGCAGTTAACTCGTGAGCTATATCCCAAACCCTTTTTAATATTTTATTTAGAAACAGGATCTCTCTGAGATTCCTAGGGCCTTTCCACGTTTCTGAAGCTGCCTCTGAGCTCAGCGTCCCCCTGCCTCACCCTCTTGAGCTGCGGGATCGAGGCATGCACCACTGCACTGGCCGTCTTTGTGCTGCTGCTTCCCGCCCCCCAATATTTTTAGTAGTAGATGGACACAATGCCTTTATTTTGTTTATTTATTTTAATGTGGTGCTGAGGATCAGACCCAGGCCTCACACATGCCAGGCAAGTGCTCTACCCCAGCCCCCATCTTTGTGCTTACTCTTAATCTCTAATAAACAGAACTAAACCCCAGGTTATTTTATGGCAACTAAATCGACATGGAATATTGTCACCTCTGGTGCTTTAACTGCCACCACCACCACCACCACCACCACCATCCTTACCATCATCATTATCACTACCAACACCAACACCAGCCTCATATCTCCACTCACTGTCATCACCGTGGTCATCGTCACAACCATCACCACCATCACCATCATCACCACCATCGCTGCCTCCATAACCATTCTCCCCACCACTATCACAACCACTTATTAATTCAACAAGTATTTATTACTAATTTGCAATTTTTGCAGCCCTGTTCCAGGTGCTTGGATACAATTGGACCCTATGAGCACCCCTCCTGTCCCTGTCACCACTTCCTGTTTCCATTGCTAGACAGCAGTGTGGACTAGGAGGTCTTTGATGTGATTTTACATACAACCTCTGGTAGCTGAAGGGTTAGGAGTTGAGTCCATGAGGAATCTTGAGGGAAACTCAGGGGAAAGGCAGGGTCTTTCTCTTACGATTCAGGCATGTGCTCTGGCACCCCACAGTCTTTAAGGTCTGGAGCTGTCTGTAGGTGTCAGAATCCCTTCCTGAAGCTGCCTCTGAACTCAGCGTCACCCTGTTAAAATGTTGGTTTCCAGGCTCCATTCCCCAGACTGGCTCAGTGAGCCTAGGATTGGGTCCAGGACCAAGTCCTTGCCTTTCCTGCCAGGGCTAGTCTAAGTGGCCAATGGAACCTTTCTTCTCCCTGTCCTCTCTTCAGGCACACCAAGATGAAGACAGCTACCAACATATACATTTTTAACCTGGCTCTAGCAGACACCCTGGTCCTGCTGACCCTGCCCTTCCAGGGCACAGACATCCTACTGGGCTTCTGGCCATTTGGGAATGCCCTGTGTAAGACAGTCATTGCCATTGACTACTACAACATGTTCACCAGCACCTTCACCCTGACGGCCATGAGTGTAGACCGCTACGTAGCCATCTGCCACCCGATCCGTGCCCTTGATGTCCGGACGTCCAGCAAGGCTCAGGCTGTCAATGTGGCCATATGGGCCCTGGCCTCTGTGGTTGGCGTTCCTGTTGCCATCATGGGCTCAGCACAGGTGGAGGATGAAGGTCAGTGGGTGGCCCTCCTCTCTGTACCAGGTTCCCCATGGTTCCCAGCAGCCCCTTCTGATCTCGTTTTTCTCCCTGCAGAGATCGAGTGTCTGGTGGAGATCCCTGCCCCCCAGGACTACTGGGGCCCTGTGTTTGCTGTCTGCATCTTTCTCTTCTCCTTCATCATTCCCGTGCTCATCATCTCTGTCTGCTATAGCCTCATGATCCGACGGCTGCGTGGTGTTCGTCTGCTCTCGGGCTCCCGAGAGAAGGACCGGAATCTGCGGCGAATCACCCGGCTGGTGCTGGTGGTGGTGGCTGTATTTGTGGGCTGCTGGACGCCTGTGCAGGTCTTTGTTCTGGTTCAAGGGCTGGGTGTCCAGCCAGGCAGTGAGACGGCTGTGGCCATCCTGCGCTTCTGCACAGCCCTGGGCTATGTCAACAGTTGTCTCAACCCCATCCTCTATGCCTTCCTGGATGAGAACTTCAAGGCCTGCTTCCGCAAGTTCTGCTGTGCATCAGCCTTGCATCGGGAGATGCAGGTATCTGACCGAGTGCGGAGCATCGCCAAGGATGTGGCCCTGGCTTGCAAGACTTCTGAGACAGTGCCGCGGCCCGCATGACTAGGCGTGGACCTGCCCATGGTGCCCGTCAGCCCACAGAGCCCATCCACGCCCAACACGGAGCTCACCCAGGTCACTGCTCTGTAGGCTGACCCAAGCGTCTGGAGCTGTAGATGGCTTTTCTCTTTGGCCCATGATGCTCAGTCCCAGAGGGGGACCTGAATGACGTCATGGGGCAGTGGACTGTGGCTGCCTCTCCCGCTGCGGCCTCTATAAGACTAAACTGCACTCCTGGTGCGGGGCCAGAGGGATGCAAGGACACTGCCTGCAAGTGTCCACTGCTCTGTGGACACCTTTGAGAGGAGCTGCTGCTCAGCAGCCGTGCTCCTGTGACTCGTCCTCCACCTCTCCCAGGCCGAGTCAGCGGAGCCTTGATACTGCAGGTGGGCTCATGCCCAGGTGTAGCCGCGGCTCTGTAGTCACCTGCACCCCACATGCTGTGTGCTATTTGTGTGGCAGGGCTCTGACTGCCTCTGACCTTGCAGTGTCTACCCAGGGCCACTGGACTGTCTTGGTGTTGCCCAGGAATGTAGTGGGCAGCATTTCTCTGTGGAGGGACTGGCCCTGAGCCCAGAGCTCCCACCTGGAACCCTTTCTGACTCCATCTGAGCAGCCAGGGCTGCCCTAGGAGGGTATACAGCAAGCTGTCAGCCTTGGCTGGAGGCTTCGTGTGGGTCCTGGCCCAGTCCCTTTCTCAATGTTCTTGTGCTACAGTGTACAGCCTGTGGATTGGACCTGCCTCAGTGCTGCCGCTCTCTGCTCTTCCCGATGGTGGCCCTGCCCTGGGCCTGACTCCCACTTCCCTTTCTGAGGCGAACGGGAGGCCTGACCCCAGCAGTTTTTCAGGGGCTCTTGCCCTCCAGAAGCCTGATGTGCACTGTTGTGCCCAGACTGTGCAGCCAGTGCTCCTCTGCAGGTGTGGGAGGTGGCTCAGGGAGAGGTGCTGCAGGACACCATCGGTGGCTCTATGGCTTGCAAAGCATGGGCCCTGTGTGTTTAGTCAGAACAGCATGCTCAGCCCGGAGGGCCCTACCACCTTCTGGGGGGTTCTCCCACAGTCTCCTTTGCTTGAAGTTGGGTCAGTGGCTGTGCAGATGGAAGGGGCCTGAGGCCTGGGGAGGTATGGCTGGGCTGGGTTTTGCTTTGCATACCCAGTGCTTACTGTTTAGTCACAGGCCTCAGAGTGTCTCTGGGTAAGGCCTGAGCCTGCTGTCAAATGTGAGGTTGGCCTCACAGGCAGAGCTGCTGTGCAAGGTTTGCTTGGGCTAACCTGCAAGGGCTCTGAGCTTTGGGGACTCTGTCCCTTGGGGAAACCCTGCTGTGATCACCCAGAGAATCAGGCAGCTTTGCGAACACTCTTCCTGCAGGTGAATTTTTGAAATACCTGCAACATTGAAAAGAGTCTCTTCTTCCCCAGACCTTGGTCAGTCTTGGGCTGGTTCTTCCTGTCCTGGGGAGCCTTGGCTGCAGGGCTGTTCCTGGGGAGACCCGGGCACACTCTGTGAGGCATTTGGCAGGAGCCACCTGGCTATAGTGCTTTCTTGCCACGGCTGAGAACTTTGACTCTGTGCTGTTGCAATGCCACCTGTGACATTACCTGTGTATTTATGCCTGTGACCAGTGTCATTCCTTGTGTGTGTAGCCAGCCCTGAACCTGTGTCCTGTTTCAGAATCTTCCACCAGGGGGTGCTGTGGTCCATGGCAGACCAAGGCCTTGAGGCCCTGTGGTCAGGAGGGTCATGAAGGAGGCCAGATAAACACCTGCTCTCTGGCTGGATGCCCTCCTTAGACAGGTGTTTCTGACTCCATCCACATGGGGACTGGGGTCGGGCTTAGCACATGAGCGGGAGAGGGCTGTGGGGCTGGTGAGTCCTCTGGCCTCTGTGAAGCTGACAGGTCAGCCCTGTCCCTAGGAAGTTGACCTGGTGAGAGGAAACTAGTTCCTGACGTGTTCCAGGGCTTCCCTTTGATACAAATAGTGCACCTGGCACCCTGGGCTATGGTGGATGCCCCTCCTCCCAGGGCTGCAGGAGTCTCTTCACCCCATTTTATGTGCAGACCCTCACTCTGCTCAGTTCCCCTCTGTGAGCAGAAACATGCAGAGCAGCCTCGAGAGTGGCCCTGCACCCTGAACCATAGACTCACTCTTGACTCCCGAGTTGACTGTCAGAGGGGACCCTGTCGGAGAGACTTGATGGCACACTGGTGGGCTCAGGGTTTCCAGGGTGGGCAGGTGGGCTGATACTATTTTGTGCAATTTTCATGATGGACAGCCTCGGGCTATGTAGCAGGCACTTTGGATGGGCAGCTTGTGCACCACAGTTGAGTTCTCATAGTTCCAGAGGCTGAAAGCCCATGGACAGGGTGCTGGACCCATCAGGTTCCAGTAAGAGCTGACCTCCTCATTGTGACATGACGGAAACAGGTCTCCAGAGCTTGGCTGTCCCATTAATAAGGAACTAGCAGCGCCACAGGGTTCCACTTTCACAGCCTGCTCATCTCCCAAAGATTCACCTCCTGACACCAACAAGTTTAGGACTATAGCATACGAATTTGGGAGTTAGAGTTCTGACACATTGCTGTTCAACAGAGGTCCAGCATCAAGGGAAATGTGGGAAGAATAGGCCCTGCCAAGGGACAGTGTTTTAATGCCCAGGAGATGGTGTGGTCCTGCTGGAGGGGCTCCTGTGAGGGGTCCTGGGCTGCTGACCCACCCTTCTGGTGGGGCATAAGTCCTGGGCAAGCACCCACCGGGATCTGCCAGGAGCCTGGCTAGCAGGGTGAGGCCAGAGGGGGAAGGCTGAGGCTCCATGGCTCTCTAGGATTGTGCCCTTCCCAAGGTCCACCCAGCCCCACAGCACCCCTGCCTGCACCTTTATCCTGTTCCTGGATGGGGACAAATCCAGCTTCCATGAGCCTTGGTTTTTTCTTTTGTGCAAAGGGAAACATAGAACCATCCTGGTGGGGCTGTGGGTAGGGCTGTATGTGGGGCTCAGTCAGGAAAGCCTGGGCACAAGAGTTGTTTCAGACTCTTCCACCAGGGGGTGCTGTGGTCACATGGCCGACCAAGGCAAGGCCTTGAGGCCCTGAGGTCATGAGGGTAGTGAGATTTGGGCACTTTCCCCCGGGTGAGGCTCTCCCTGGGACCAAGAGCCGGAATGTGGGGATTTGGAGGAGTGAGCTGTTCAGGGTGGCCCCCTACCCAATAGTAGGAGTCTCTGGTGGGAGGAATAGGGCTGGCTTGGGCAGGACCCTGATAAGTCTGTCTTTGGTATCACTGGGCCCTGGCTGTGTCTATCTCTTGGTCCCCATGGTGCTCCCAAGGAGCTGAGGAGGGAAGGGGAGGCAGCTCCCTTTGTTGGGCTGTGGATGGGGGCAGGAGCCATAAACAAAATGTGATGGGGCCTGTTCTTCTTCGTGGCCCTCCCCAAGCCTGGCAGCTCTCCAGGGCGCCTGCCTCCTGCTCTTCGCACCCACTCACCCTCTCCTCCAGGCTCATTATTCAGTGCTGTGCTCCTGGTTCTGCTGCCACAGCAAGACGCAGCCTCCGCCTGGGTCCTGAGGAGTTCCGGGCCTAGGAACAGCGTGCTTCAAGTGGTAATTAGGCTGTTGGCGAGGTGTGACAGCCCAGGCACAGCGCGTTCTCTCTGTGGAGAGGTGGGTGTGGATGGTGGTTAAGAAGCACCCTCAGCCCCTCAGGGTGAGGGGCTGGAGCTGCTTAGGCTGAGAGCAGTGACTCTTCACTAGGCCTCAGTTGCCCCACGGGTGGCTGGGAGCCGAGGAAGTTGGCATCTCTGTCTCCATCGGTGTCTGTTCCCAAGGTGGTGCCGCTGCCCCGCTGTGCACGTGGGCATGTCCATCATTTAAGGAGTGTTCATCTGAACACTGTAACATGAGGTTTCTTAATCTTAACCTTACCCTAGCCATCTTGTCCCCCTTCAAGACTGAGGCAAGAGGTGCAGCATTCTGCTTCAGACCCAGGAAGTCTTTAGTGCTGTCCTAACTCTTCCAGGCACTAACGGAGGAAGGCATGGCACCCCAAATGGGACACCCCCACCCTGAGCAGGAGCGATTGTCTCGTGGGAGCTGATGGCTCCCGCACAGGACCACAGGTCTGATAGACTCACATCCTGAGCAGCAAGCGGAAATTGATCAGGACTTCTCTGGAGCCCTCTTGCCAAACCAGAACTGAAATCACTGTGGGCCAGACCACAGCCTGTCCAGGCCTCTTGCCCTGGCCCCAGCTCTTCCTCCCTTTAAATCTAAAGCTTCTGTCAGCATCTGTTAGACAGACTTGGGATGCTGGACCTCACTTTGCCTTCCCAATGTGGCCACAGTGATTAAAATCTCCTGCTTTTCACCATGACCTTTTCTGTTTGGTTTTTGGGTGAGTGGCCAAAATTGGTCAGGCCTGTAGCCCAGGACTCCAGGAACATTCCTATCTAGTATACAGCATATGGCAGAGACGGTGACAAGTGACTTCTGAGAAGAGACATGAGAGATGTCCACGCTTCCTATTGGAGCTCTAGGATCAACTCCCTGGGGGGCTGGGGCCAGCCTGGAGGCCCTCAGTCTGTGCAGGGTCCATGCATGTCCTCAGCCCCTGTGCAGCCTCCAGAGGACCTGAGTCCACCACGTCCCGACTGAACAAGGGAGACAGAGCCAGAACCACCCAGAGAGGCCACTCCTGCTTCCTGACACCGAGCAGCAAAAACAACATTGATTTTTTTTTTTTGTAGCTCTGGGTTTTGCAGAAACAGCAATAGGTATCACATACAATGTTGGGCTAGGGAAGATGCCAGGTAGAGATTACAGTTAAGTTGTTTGGGGCTCATGGAGGCAGGGAGGGGACAGTGAGGTGGGCTGGCCCTGTTCTGGACTTAGGTCCAGTGGGGGAGGGGGCACCTTCTCTGGGGTGCCTTGGAAGTGGTGAGGGCTGAAACCCACCGCATGATGCTCCATGCTGTAAGGCCAAGAGCCAGGGTGCCCAGAGTGACTAGTCTTTGGGCAGTCATGGCCTCTGGACCCCTGAACTGTGTATCCCTACCCTGGAGGAGATCCAGCACCCAGCTCTGGACCCAGGCCCACCCGGGAGAAGGGAGTTTTGGATACCTGCTCCTCCAAGGGCATACAGCCTCTAGACAGTGGGGGTCCAGAGGTCACCAGGGCCTCCAAGGGCATGGGCTTCCTGGTGGATGTCCCTGGGCTTCAGGCCAAGGTGGATTTTTGTGGCTCCCTTTGATGTCCTTGTCCTCAGCCTTGGCAGCAACACTTGGCTCTGCTGCCCGAGGTGCCCACAGTATGGTCACATCATAGTCCCATTTGGGTGGAGCCTAGGGGAATACATTGCTGGTTCCAGGACAAACTCATAGTGCAGGGTCCCTCCCCTACCGATCACTGTTCCCAGAGAGGACACGGATGGGACCATCTGGGGGCCATCTGCTGGTCCCTCCTTTGTGTGTGACCAGGCTTGGGTACCTTCTGCCAGGACCGGAGTCTCTGCTTCTGTCCATGCAGGGCTGTCCAGAAGCATGGTCTTTCTGTGGCTGTCTGTGCAGGGTGGATGTATTCTGTATGGAGAGCACAGGGGGATGATGGGAACAGTAGGGACACCCTTGTCTGGGGTGCTGCATCTGGGAGGAGAGGGAAGGCCTGGGCACCAAGGCCCTCAGCAAAGGAATGTGGTGCGGAAATTCTGGCGGAAGCCATGGTCCAGGAAGGCATACAAGAAGGGATTGAGGCATGAGTTGGCGTAGCTGAGGCTGGTGATGGCGTAGGAGATGCCGATGACCACGGATGTCTGGGGCATGTCGGTGGTCAGGGCCACCACGGAGGCCAGGTGGAAGGGCGTCCAGCAGAGGAGGCAGACAGCCAGCACAGTGAGGACCAGGGCAGTCACTTTCCGCTTGGCCTTGCCCAGAGCCTTGGTGCCAGAGCGGAGTCTCACGGCCCGCAGCCTGCGCAGCAGGTCCACGTAGAGCCCACAGATGGTGCACACAGGCAGCATGAAGCCCAGCACCAAGGTGTAGATGCGACTGGCCTGGAACCAGGCCCGCTCTGGCTTCGGGAAGCTCAGCCCACAGCTGGGCACCTGCAGCTCGTTGCTGTAGACGCCAGCAAAGGAGAAGAAGGGCAGAACCATGACAGTGACGGCGACCCAGACACACAGGCTGGCCACCTTTGCCACCCGTGGGGTGCGCCGGGGCACGCGGCGGGACCGCACGGTGGCCAGTACCACCAGGTAGCGGTCCACGCTCATCAGGGCCAGAAAGTAGATGCTGGAGAAGATGTTGCAGTGGTCGATGGCCAGCACGAGCTTGCAGAGCAGTTCCCCGAAGGGCCAGCGTTGCAGCAGGTGCTCTGCGATGTTGGCAGGCAGCACCAGCACGAAGAGCCCGTCTGCGACGGCCAGGTTCAGGACAAGCACGTTGGTCACGGTCTTCATCTTGGGTGCCCTCAGGATCACCAGGATGACTGCCGCATTGCCGGCTATCCCCACGACACAGATCACGGTGTACACCGCCGGCAGCAGCACGTAGAGTACCCATAGTGGCTGGGGGAAGGTGGTGTTGGGCTGGGTGCCGTTGTCCTGGGAGAGGCTGGTGCCCACTGTGGCAGCAAAGAAGGAACTTCCACTGCCATTGACCTCTGTGTGCCTGACTGACTGCATTGTCTTGGGGCTGGAGGCAGGTTCTGGGCAGAGGTCTCCTGGGGCTGGATTCTGGGAAAGAAAGAGCCAGAAACTTTGGGTTCTGGCCACCAGAACAGTGGCCACCTCAAGTTCTCTGGCAGAGGGTGCCACCACTCCACCAGGCCAAGAACACTTGGGAGTCATTCTGTCCATCCTGGTCCTGAGGCAGGCAAGAACCTACTGGGTGAGGGGGCCCCCTCTGGGATGGCAGGCACATTGGGCAGCTCAGCGACCTTCCCCAGACCCTGCTCCTGCTCTGCGAGGTCAGCCACACCACCTTCTTGGGAGGCAGATGCTTGGAGCTGTTCCCAGCAGCCCCCACTCTGCCCAAGCACAGTCCACAATTAGAGTGGTCAGGACTGTTGTCCTTTGGCAAATGCACTTCCCAGGGGCATCCCTAGCTGCCCTCAGATCCCAAGTACCAAAGTATCAGAACAAAGCACCTTCCTGCAGAAGTGCCCAGCCTGCACCCTCTCTTCCTCCCTACCACTACTGCAGACCCTGCCAGACTTCTCTCCACTCACCTGTCAGGTGCCTGGGGCCAGAAGTTGGTCACCTTCAGGCTCTGAGTGGCAGCAGAGCTCAGATAGCCTTGGGAGGGAGAAGGGAGGTGGTTGTCCCCTGACAGACTCCCGGCAGGGGTCCTGGTCAGCTCTCACCGCTTGCTGCCGGTTTCCTAGCTAGGCTCTCCTCCCTGTGGCAATGCTTATGCGCAGGCAGGGAGGGAGGCGGGTCTCTCTTGCTGACGCTGTGAGCCCCAGGAGGCAGCCCCCCCACAGTGCCGTGGTGCCTGCAATCAACCCATCCAGGGCCTCCTTGGCGCTCACTCAGCTAGGGACTCCCAAGGGGCCAGCTGAGCAGCGTGTGCGTCTGGGTCTGTGCATGCACGTGTGTGTTGGGAGGGTAGGCCATGCAGGGGAGAGCATCTGTGGGTCACCATGGGCCTGGAAAGCCTTACCTGTGTACATGGGTGTCTTGTGCCTGACCCTGGGTGTGCATGACACGTGGCACATGCATGTGGGTCCCTGTCATGTGCACAGGGGTTTCTGTGGGTGACTCTACACTGTGTCCAAGGGGTCTGGGTGTCTTTGGCCGAAGGTTGGGCCTGGGGACCATATGTCCTCATGTTGAAACCTGTTGGCTGCAGGCAACACAGCTTCTTTGTGTCTTTTATGTACGGAGCAGAAGCTGGCAGGCCCTGAGATGGTGGAAAGGAGGTCTGCCTCCCTGCCGGCTCCTGTCCACTCACTGGCCCAGTGGCTCATGCAGCGGTGGCAAGTGTGGCACTCTCTCTGGGCTGATCCTTAGGTCCTTCCCTTCTCCCCACCTTTGGCTCCTGGAGCTAGATGTGCCCAGACTCACTCAGCCTAGTGGTGAACAGCAGGGCAGTCTGGCAGAGCAGGCTTGGGTGGCAGCCTCAGGAGGTTCCTCAGTGTGGCTGGCTGCAGGAGGCCTGTGGCTGCCCATCAGAGTAATGTCCACTGCCCTCTGGGTTGCAGCTCATGGTTTCTTCTGCAAGTCGCTCCATCGTTTCTGCTTGTGCTTGTGTCCCCTGGTGGTCTGGACAGGAGCCTGGGAGGTAGCCCTGAGTGCCTGGAAGTTGCAAGGCCTGAGGCCATGTCCACAGGCACTGCAGATGGGCCCCTAGCTCCCTGCCACGTGCCATGTGCAAATGGAGTCCCAAGGGGGCCTGGCTGGCAGCAGGGCCCGTGGCTGGGCTCAGAGGAATCATCCCCAGGAAAAGCCTAAAGACCATGATTTTGGGGTATTAGGTGGGTCTGTTCAAAGCTCCTGGAAACCAGAGACAGGACGGAGAAAGGGGCAGCCTGTAAGTGGTGGCCGGGTCCTCCTCGGCTGTGGGGCACAGGCATTGCCAAGGGCATGGGCTTGGCCAGGCAATGAGGGTCTTGGCTGGGGTGAGGGATTGACCCCGCCTCAGCGCCACGGAGGCGTGCATGGTGGGGGCACGTATTCTCCTGGAGGGGGGCTGACCAGGCTGGGCCTGATCCAGGGTGCTGCTGGTCCCCCCCAGCATCAGAGCCAGTGTTGCCTTACGCACCAGCATGGGTGGACTTCTGGGCACCCTCTTGCTCCTGGTCCTCTGCACACCCCAGAGGACTATTCTTTCTCCAGAGCTGGCTGCTCTAGACTGCCTGCCCTCCAGCCCACAGCCTGTTACAGAGGGCAGCTCTTAGGTTCAGACCCTCCCTCAGGGCTTCCCACCACGCCCCTGCTTCCTCTAAAGCAATCCCACTAGTGTTTGGCTCAGCCAGAGCCCCTTCCACACCCTCTCTCTGCCTTCCAACTTGTCCTAGTCAGACCCTCACCAAGGCCATTACATCCAATGGGGTGGGGGGCAATGGGAAGGACAGGCATGGGGAGGGAGGTGATGGGAAGGAAGAAGGGGGCTGGGAGGGAGGTGTTCTGCACATTCCATAATATAATGGGGTTTATTATTCTATAATGCTGTGTATAGCAGCAGTTTTCAGGCTGTGCCTAGCCTCGAGCTACTCCGTTCTCAGTGCAAATGCTAAGGCAGAATGGCCTGTGACTTGTTTGGCTAACAGATGACCACCAGACTTTGGACATGCCTGAGACTTGTTTGGCTATCAGATGACCACCAGAAGTTGGACATGCAGAAGTCATGGGAAGAGAAACTCCCATGCTCAGCACAATCATAAGGCACAAACCAATAGATAAATTAATCACACTAGAAAAAAATGACCACTTGAACTTGCAGAATGAAAACAGAAGCACAAGCTGGGTGCAGTGGCCAAGCCGGTAATCCCTGTGGCTTGGGAGGCTGAGGCAGGAGGATCGTGAGTTCTAAACCAGCCTCAGCAACTTATTGAGGCACTTGGCAACTCAGTGAGACCCCATCTCTAAGTAAAATATAAAAAAGATCTGGGGATATGGCTCAGTGGTTAAGGGCCCCTGGGTTCAATCCCTGGTACCAAAAAAACCCAGAAGCGACTGCATGCAGGGGTGTACCAACCCATAGCAGAGAAACCAGGAATCCTGGTGAGTTTGTGGGTCTCCCCGGGTGTGATCCTCACCTGAAACACCAGAAAGGAGAGGTGCCCCAGCAGTGGCACAAGCCCTGCCAGACCACCTGGTGGTAAGAAACTCCCCTGCTGCGTGACACTCTACATCTGGGTTGGTCCAGCATCTTTCTGACCACCGTAGTGGCTCTTCTGCATTTGTTCTTCTCTCTGGGTGCAGCCTCCTACACCCTAGGTCCACCTTGACCCTGTCTTAGCCTTTCGGTAACCTGCATCACTGTGTAAAGTGTGGTGTGTCTTGAGTGTCATAGATATTAGTAATTAGGTTTGGGATAAAAGAACCTATGATTGTCCAACTGAAGGCCATGAAGTAACCCAGGAATACTCAGTGAATTTCAGAGTGGGAAAGTGGTACAGCCCGTGACTTTACTGTTATTCAATGAAGCTGACACCGTGGAAAGGCACAAATGTCTGGTTTGTATTAATGGCTAGCATGCTCACAAGAGGAGGGGTGGGATTGAGGGGCAGAACGGGTTTGGGAGGCCCAGGGGTGCCAGGGGTGAGTGCTAGGCACTCAGGCCCATTGGGCTGGGGAGGCCCAGGGTCCCAGGGAGGCGCTGTAAGTGCTGGTCATCTGGCCTGAGGGCCATGTGTGCAGGGCTCCAGTTGCCTCTTCTCCTTCCAAGAGCTCCAGGGCCACTCTGTGTCCCTCAGCTCCTACCCTGAGGCGCAGGGAATAGCTTTCTTCTGGGTGGGGCAATTAGAGGTCAGGGGTGGAGGCAGCCCTGTGCTAGGTCCCTGGGTGGGGTGGGGCAAGGCTGGGTATGTCTAGGTGTTGGGGGTGGAGGGAGGGGACAGGGCCGGTGGCCTGTACTGGGGTGTTGTGTGTGGGGTTTTCACAGGGGCCAGGAGGAGAAGCAGCCTAGGTTTAGGACCAGCCACAGCAAGACCTGGAGAAGGTGCGGAGGCAGTGCCCGGGGGAGGTGGGGAGTCCAAGGGAGGTGGAGCCCCCTGCCTGGTGTTCAGCTCAGGGGTTCTGGGGGCAGGTAGCTGAGCAGGCTGGGGAGGACAGACAGGTGACAGATCAGGAGGGAGGGGGGTTGGCCTAGGAGGACACCAAGACCTCCCCTTAGCCCCTGAGTGTCCTCTGGTGAGCTGGGGGGGAGAAGATGTTGACTCCCCTTGCCACCCTGCAGGGTCATGTAGGTGGCAGATCCCCAGCTCAGAGAACTTGGCTGCAAAACTGTGACTCAAATGCACAAACAGGAAGGAGCTGACTGCTCCCCAGGGCCCAGGCCCATCTTAGCCCCCTGCTGGGGTTGTAGAAGTCAGTCACTGAAGTGCTCCCAGTCCCTGCCCCCAGAGGCCCCATCCAAACAGAAGCGGTGGGAGGTAGTATGCCCATAGCTCCAGGGCCATCTTCCACACCTGCTTGGCGGGAGCCCAGGCCCCAAACAGACCCTGGAACAGCTGTCCTTGCCCAGGGATTCCCAGCAGCTTCCAAACTTGCCTGGTGCTCAGTCCCAGGCGGCTTCACCAAGGGCCCTGTGTCCTTCCTTGGGGCAGGTCTCTGAGGGTCTTAGTGCACAGGAAGGGGTGGTCAGCACTGCTGAAGATGTAGAGTCCTCCTTGGATAGGAGGGGTCTGGGGGGTCTCACTGTCCCTAGCTGAGGGGCAGTTGTGGTCACTTGTCAGCGGAGGCAAAATGGGCAGGGAGTATGCAGGTGCCTTCAAGTCTGCAGAGAGGGGCTCCCAGGCATGTCAGTGTGTGCAAACACACATGGTACTGGTTCGCTGCTCCTGATACTGCAGGGCAGGGAACCCCAAGCTCCCAAGATGGGCCCAGAACATCCAAGAGCCAAAGCTGGACCCCAGCCTCTTTCTGTTTGGTGATTCCTGACAAAGGGCAGGCAGGGCTGATTTGTGCTTGATGCCCCAAGGCTCTCACTCCCTCACTAGTTCCTATAGAGCTATGACCCTGCGGGCAGTCCCCATAGGCTCATGCCCTCACTTGGCTGGATTGTG